TGGTCATGCACTTTGGTCTGTCAAGTCACCTGTGAAAAGTTCATCTTAAACACAATCAGTGGCCCAACAAACTAGTGGTAGGCTAAAATAAAATTATTTTACTGTAGCTTTCAATAAATTCTTTAATACGTGTTAATGATTGTAGAACACAATTTACTTTATGCATCACAAAATGATTTCAACTGCCTCTGCCACTCCTCCATCCCCAGACCAAGATCAGGAGCGAGCTGGAGAAATTGTGTGACCACATACCAGGCCCTGCAGCACCTAAACTGTGCCGGGAGCAGGTGGATAAGAACTTCCCCCTGTCCATCACCTTCTTGACCAGCTTCGTCGTAAGTGTCTGTGGGAGGTTGAGAAAGATCCTAGTTTGTACTTCTTAAAATAATTCTGACTGAATGAGCCTGAATTAAGCTTCTCTCCTCTCCCACAGAAACCAGCTCAGGTGTGCTCCGTGTTGGGACTGTGTGGCTCCCAGTCAGACCGCCAGCAGCACGACCTGCTGACCTATCACATTCAAGATGGTCTGAAGTCAGCCATGACAATGACAAAGGTGAGACAGAAAGAACAAGGCTTATACTCTCTCTCTCTCTCTCTCTCTGACCTTTTCCCTGTGTCCCTCTGACTGTTTTTGTCTGTCTGAACCTGACTGTGTTTGTCTGTCTTTATCTGGTTTTCTTTCTCTCTACCAGGTGCAGTTCTCACCACAATGTACCTTCTGCGTTTATCTCATCAAGTTACTGGAGAGGAGGCTGCCCAAAGTAAGTACTGAGGCCTTAGAAATATAATTACTGTAGTGATTCTATTTATTTAAGGCATGCACGTGCGCACACACACACAAACACACACACACTCTTACCCTCATTTTCCCAATACCCTGTATCGGTTTCCCCTCCCAGATGGCTGTGATTGATATGCTGGGGAAGGTATGTGGCATTCTGCCCTCATCTTACAGAGAGCAGTGTGAGAACGTGATAATGAAGTATGCTAAGATGCTGATGGACATGCTCCTGAGCTACGTCACCCCTGAGGCCATCTGCACCCTCATCCAAGTCTGTCATGGAATGGAGACGCCTGTCCTGGGTGAGTTCATGACCACTTCCTGCCCTGCACCATCACCATATAATCACTTTTCTCTCTATCCATTTCCTCTTTTATATTTCCCTGTTTTGAAATGACTCTTTAAACGTCTCTCTCGCTTTCTCAGAGAGTGCTCCTCTGTCTGACTGTGACTCCTGTCTGACCCTGGCGGTTTTGACTCGTCTACAGCTGGGCTCCAACGCTTCAGAGCCCCAGACCGCCTCCTTCCTGGGCTCTCTCTGCCAGCTCCACCCCAACACCCTCCCCAAGGTCAGCCCTGCCCCCTGGTCGACATCACCCCTCATCTCACATAGGAGCCTTATAGAAGCCTCTGGGCTCATGTCTTATTTCTCTTTTCAGTGTGACGACTTCACCCAGCTCCATGGGCACCAGCTGAAGGGGGTTCTGGGTAAACCAGAGTCTGCCCTTAATGTGTGTGAGGTGTGTCATGTTTAGATTCACTCGACTACACACTATCATCACATGAAAGTCACTTAAATCCAAGTTTCTATGGGCTGGGTGGGGATGTACTATAAGTGGCTGTGAGAGTAACACATGTCATTTGTTTCTCAGAGGGTGGGTCTGTGTGGGGCAGTGAGAGAGGCAGAAAAACAGGGAGAGGACCTATGCACTCTGGGCACCAGCTACAGGTGCAGAGACCTCAAGACTGCCCTGGAATGCGGGGTAAGGCTACCGAACGAACCAACAAAGTTTTATTTGACCTTTCTATTAGCAGGGAGTCCCATTGAGACGAAGGTCACTTTTTCCAAGGCTACATTACACAATAGAAAATACAAAAAAGTATAGTACTAATTTCATAACAGAACAAAGGTGTTTAAATCTTGGAATACAATTTGTCTTACGCAGACAGTGTCCTTCTGCCAGAAGTTTTTGTGGAAGTAAGAAGCTTTGCCCAGCACCTACTCACAAAGTGGATGGTAAGTTTACTTTATATACATACAGTATTTGTTTCAGAAAACTGGTTGTCACACACAACTCAGGTAAGTGTGGGTCCACTCTCTTTTCAGACTGACGATCCAAGATTGAGAGCCTGCAGCCTTTGCTACAATGGATGATCCCAAAGCTTTCAACATCAAATTGTAAATACTCTATATTTACAGTGTCAATATCTGATAACATTTCCCACAGACAGACATTGCACTGAATATTTTGCCATTTTATGCTCTTTTGTCCTTTTATCTGCTGCACACAGAATCAGTATGAACTCTACAGACCAAGTCAATACATTCCTGTGGCTTGGGATTTCTCAAGAGAACAAAGATGTTTAAACTAGACATTCTTTATATTAGCAGTAAAGGTGGCCTAGAAAGGTACTGGGGAAATGATCAGATTAAAATGAGAGCTGACGTGTTGAAACAGATTTTAAAACGACAAAAGAACAACTGACTTGCACCGTGTATGCTTGCGATTTTAGCTGTACATGTAGTCTCAAAATCCTTCTCAAATATATTAGTTGTGTTCATGCCCACTCTTTTGGTTACTGAAAGTGATGTTAAAAAAATAATGTATGACCAAAGCTAAACTATATCAAGTATTTTACCCAAATAAAAACGTTTCCATTTCAGCGACTGACCCGTTCGTCTAAATCATTCCCACAAAGGGGGGCAATGGTGCAGTGCAATCCAAACACTGTACATTACATTGTCCTCATTAGGGACATGATATTCTACCTCTCCCAATTCAGTTGTTTCTGTTACAGACACCATGGCGGTTTGTGCTCCAAGAGTTGCATGTTGACGAGAATAAAAGACTTACGTAGAGAACGCCAGAACATACTTTTATTCAAAGATTTCACGTGGGACAGCGTTTCTTTCCGAAATGGAACATTTCAGCCAAGGGAAGGGATGTATGACTTAAGAGACAGGCTATGTAACGGGTTGGGGATGGTAGCAGGAGTAGGTAGGGTGTGGATGGCGTGGAAGGGAAAACACTAGAAAAGGCACTTTTTCACCTTCAGTAACCAGATTTAAAAACCTAATTTTATAATGTAGAGAAAATAAGAGCCAGTCCCCACAGACCCACTAATGAGAGCATTGTAAACGAGACCGGTTTCTCTGTACAACACCAGCCAGACTTTTGCTTCCATCTGTGGGCCTATGGGAACAAAAACATTTAAATTGTTTTACTTCTTGGGGAGTTAAGTCATCTCACAAACCTAAAATATAAATAACACAGGCAAATGCTTACTGCACCACCTTGTGGCTGCAACCCAAAGTTTTTCTGTAGAACACTTCAGGAACCAGGGTAAAGACAGCCCCTCATCAGGAGTGACAAGCCGAGTTTCTCTGTAGCCACAGTCTGAGGGGGAGTGCCTTGCCCTCACCTATCAGACGGGGACAAACCTAACAAAATTCTAGAACTTTCACATGAAATCTTCAAGTGACAAAGGATGAGCTAGAGATATGGAAGGTACACCCCAACAAGCCAGAGGTCATTAGCAGCTTCTGACTTCTCTGTAATACATCAGAAAACATGGTCTGAAGGGATGATGCTTCCAAACGAGGTACTATATTTTACGACACTCACGTTCCTCTTCACCAATTACATTTTTGGTTACGTCTGTCAATTTGCAAAAGAAAATCAATTTTTATAAAAAATAGTTAAGGGTACAAGAGTTGCATACTAATTACCCAATTACTCCTAGCAATCTTCAATCCTAAATGTGCCATCACTTATTTATCCTACAGGAGAAACATGAGTGGGGGTTACGTACAGGGGGGAGGGGGGGGGGGTTAGTCTGAGTACCAGTCTCTTTAGCTAACATTCTACTCCTTGGCACATGACATGGAGTACAGGGAGTGGATTAGCTAAAGATACTGGTGGACAGGCTAGGGTGAGAATACATTTCTGTGAAGGCAAATCACAACTACAGAACAGTCAGGGAAAGAAGACCGGGAAATGGATTTCAAGGAGTGTGCAAGCAATTTGAAGTGGGTAGAGATGAGGGGACAGGAGTGTAACATTTTTCCCTCCCAGAGTGTTGGTTTTTCTGTAGCACACCTACAGCTCTGGGTGGGAAAGTTGGGGGTGAGGGGTTCAGTATTTGAGCTTTTTGGGGACCTCCCAGGGGAAGGCCTCCCGCCCAAAGTGGCCATAGGCAGCGGTCCGCTGGTAGATGGGCTTTTTCAGGTCGAGCTCCCTGGAACACAGAGAAACACAATAACGTGTTGAACTGGGTAAATAACTGCATAGATTACCAGAGGGCAAACCAAGCTGTGTAACATCACCATTTAAAATGTAGAACCCCTCCACCAACAAGGACCAGCTTTGACCCCATGGGACACCATTGTTCCACACTCTACCTGACAATGACACCAGGGCGGAGGTCAAAGTTCTTCTTGACAATGTCCAGCAGCTCCCGCTCACTCTTCTGGGAAGTCCCATAGTGGAAGATGGAGATGGACAGGGGATGGGCCACTCCAATGGCATAGGCTACCTGACAACACAGCCACTTATTAACAAACAGGATCAAGATTCACATAACAGGTAATAATAACATATGCTTCCTTTACTTTTCATGTCACGGTGATGCATAACAGCTATAAGTGAATGACTCATATAGCAATCAAAACCTGACAACAACAAAAAGACAAATAAACAGTTAGGTTACAGCCATTAGCTCATTCCTCACCTGGACCAGTACACGCTTGCAGAGCTCAGCTTTAACCAGGGACTTGGCCACCCAGCGAGCAGCGTAGGCAGCAGAGCGGTCTACCTTAGTGTAGTCTTTCCCTGAGAAGGCCCCTCCACCGTGGGCCCCCCAGCCTCCGTAGGTGTCCACAATGATCTTACGTCCTGTCAGGCCAGCATCACCCTGTGAAGGGGAAAGGAAGAGTCAGCCAAGTAGCCCAGGACAGCCTTGGAAGTGTCTATCTCGTGGTGATAAGAGCGCCTACTTTTTAATGACTGACAATGTGCCTACTTGATCACATCACAATGGATATTTTTTTTTCTTCCCGTACATCTATTGAGGACTGGTCTAGAATATATCTCACCTGAGGGCCTCCGATGACGAACCGGCCGCTAGGCTGCAGGTGGTAGATGGTGTCGTCATCCAGGTACACGGTGGGAACCACTGCCTTCACAACCTGCTCCTTCAGCGCGTCACGCATCTCATCCAGGCAAATTACCTCGTCGTGCTGCACAGACACCACGACAGTGTGCACACGCACTGGAAGCATGGCCCCACGGTCCTGCCTGTACTGAACGGTCACCTAGAGAGGGGGAGACGAGGTATGACATGTAATTCAAAGTGTACAAGCATGTCTGACAAGGTAAGGCAAAGTACACGGCGCTTGTAACGCCAAGGTAGTGGGTTCGATCCCCGGGACCACCCATACACAAAAATGTATGCACGCATGACTGTAAGTCGCTTTGGATAAAAGCGTCTGCTAAATGGCATATTATTATTATTATTACTAGGATACCTGCATACAAGTGGAGATAGCTGTGCAAGTGTGCCTGAAAGGCCTGCTTTATAACATGCATCTGGACAAGGGATTTCCATAAATTGATATGTGAACATAGCCGCAGGGATTGACATTAAGGGTTGCCCTATTGCCCGGGGCAAGTGACCTGAGGAGTTGTGCAAGTTGAGCCTGCTCGGTTGCACCATTGGTCAGGATTTTTTAAAACATGATAACCTAAATGCAAAGAATTCCAGTAGTCTGGTCTTTCTGGTTCCACCCCATGTGTACGTGAAAATAACTTAATTTTCTGCCAAGTGATCAGAATCTTCCGGCAACCAAAGAAATACTCATTTTCAGACCTTAACCCATAAGAGTAAGCCGGGGGAGGGGTGGGGGTACTACTAAGCTATTTGGAATGTTTTTAAGGTCATACCAAGGATAATTTTGCTATTTGATTTTGAATTTTAAATGTTAATCCCTGCCGTATTTGGAGTATAGGCTGCGTGCTGAATCTAACCTGAGTTTTGGAGTCTGGTCTCAGCCAGGGCAGGGTTCCGTTGCGGCGTAGTTCAGCCATCTTGGCATTGAGCTTGTGGGCGAGGACGATGGTGAGGGGCATACACTCCTCAGTCTCATCAGTGGCATAACCAAACATCAGACCCTATAACACAAAACACAGTCTAACACTTAGTGCGGAGACAAAAACCATTAAAAACTAATATACAGTTGAGCATCAGGCCCAGTCAATTAGTCACTGACTCACAAATATTCAAAGACAGGAGGCTTCTAACCTGGTCTCCAGCCCCCACATCCTCCTCTTTGCGGTCCAGGTGAACACCCTGAGCGATGTCAGGGGACTGCTGCTCCAGAGCCACCAGGACGTTGCAGGTCTTATAGTCAAAGCCTGCGGGAAGGGAATATAATCAAACCTCAGTGTTACTTACTGTCTATATCGCTTTGCCAAAGCTAACCTGTGACTTCTTAAAACCATGTATTCAATGAAGTGAGCAATTAAATCAGAGCAAATTTGCAGCAATACCCTTGGAGGAGTCGTCATAGCCAATGTGCTTGATGGTGTCCCTGACGACCTTCTGGTAATCAACGTTGGCCCTGGAGGTGACCTCCCCTGCCAGCAGAATCATCCCAGTCTTAGCCACTGTCTCTGAAAAGACGCAGACAGAAAGAGAAAACATGTGAGCAAAAGACTGGGGATGGATGGAGGGAAATCAAGTGAAGGAAAGTGAGGTAAACGTGTGCATTAGCTAATTAGGAAGACGAAGGGAGGACAGAAGCAAGGGCATGTTACAGCATCAGACAGCGCAACATGGACAAACCTATAGAAAGGTTCATTTTTTATAGATGTGATTGATCCTTACCACATGCCACTTTCGCATCAGGGTCCTGCTTGAGATGCGCATCGAGCACAGCGTCGCTGATCTGGTCACAAAGCTTATCTGTCAAGAGAAACAAGAGTTATGGGGTGTATCGTGCAGCAAAAAAAGACCCTACTAAACACTTCAAGACATGTTATGCCTGCAAAACCAATAACCTTTTATGGACCAAACTGGGCAACAAGCCAGACTCCGCAGCCACGGCCAGGTATACAGTGCATTCGGAAAGTATTCAGACCCCTTGACTTTCCACATTTGGTTACGTTAGCCTTATTCTAAAACATATATTTTTTTATTCCCCTCAATCTACACACAATAACCCATAATGACAAAGCAATAACAGGTTTAGACATTTTTGCAAATGTATAAAAAATTAAACTGAAATATGACATTTACATAAGTAATCAGACCCTTTACGCAGTACTTTGTTGAAGCACCTTTGGCAGCGATTAGCCTCGAGTCTTCTTGGGTATGAAGCTACAAGCTTGGCGCACCTGTATTTGGGCAGATCCTCTCAAGCTGGGTCAGGTTGGATGGGGAGAGACGCTGCACAGCTATTTTCAGGTCTCTCCAGAGATGTTCGATCAGGTTCAAGTCCGGGCTCTGGCTGGGCCACTCAAGGACAGAGACTTGTCCTGAAGCCACTCCTGTGTTGTCTTGGCTGTGTGCTTAGGGTCGTTGTCCTGTTGGAAGGTGAACCTTCGCCCCAGTCTGAGGTCCTGAGCACTCTGGAGCAGGTTTTCAATCAAGGATCTCTGTACTTTGCTCCATTCATCTTTCCCTCGATCATGACTAGTCCTTCCAGTCCCTGCCGCTGAAAAACATCCGCACAGCATGATGCTGCCACCACCACGCTTCACTGTAGGAATGGTGCCAGGTTTCCTCCAGACATTTACATTTTAGTCTTTAGCAGACGCTCTTATCCAGAGCAACTTACAGTTCGTGAGTGCATACATTTTTTATTTTTCATACTGGCCCCCCGTGGGAATCGAACCCACAACCCTGGCGTTGCAGACGTGACGCTTGGCATTCAGGCCAAAGAGTTCAATCTTAGTTTAATCAGACCATCTTGTTTATCATGGTCAGAGTCCTTTAGGCAAATTCCAAGCAGGCTGTCATGTGCCTTTTACTGAGGAGTGGCTTCCGTCTGGCCACTCTACCATAAAGGCCTGATTGGTGGAGTGCTGCAGAGATGGTTGTTCTTCTGGAAGGTTCTCCCATCTCCACAGAGGAACTCTGGAGCTCTGTCAGAGTAACCATCGGGTTCTTGGTCACCTCCCTGACCAAGGCCCTTCTCCCCCGATTGCTCAGCTCTAGGAAGAGTCTTGGTGGTTCCAAACTTATTCCATTTAAGAATGATGGAGGCCACGGTGTTCTTGGGGACCTTCAATGCGGCAGAATTTTTTTGGTACCCTTCCCCAGATCTGTACCTCGACACAACCCTGTCTTAGAGCTCTACAGACAATTCCTTTGACCTCATGGCTTGGTTTTTGCTCTGACATGCACGGTCAACTGTGGGATCTTATATAGACAGGTGTGTGCCTTTCCAAATCATGTCCAATTTACCACAGGTGGACTCCAATGAAGTTGTAGAAACATCAAGGATGATCAACAGAAACAGGATGCACCTGAGCTCAATTTCAAGTCTCATAGCAAAGGGTCTGAATACTAATGTAAATAAGGTATCTGTTTTTATTTTATACATTTGCAATAATTTCTCAAAACCTGTCTACGCTTTGTCATTATGGGGTATTTTGTGTAGATCGATGAGGGAAAAACAAGGCTGTACCATAACAAAATGTCAAAAAAGTGAAGGAGTTTGAATACTTTCCAAATGCACTTTATGATTGACAGCTGCAAAGTACTACAGTTGCCACATTCCTAACAGCAATACATTCACACCCTGGCCTGCACCCCCCCAGCCCTGCAGGGAGACGGGGCAGTCATTGGATCAAGCCTCTACAAGACCTTGTCACACCACTAGCACTATGTTGACTTCAATTTAATGGATTATCATATGCACTGAATCGTCACCACAGTGACTGCTTTCTCAAAGCAGTTTCTTGTGCCAAAAGGTACATGCGACAGGCTGCACACAGTTGCACTGCAGTCCCTGGAGAGGAGACCTAGGCCTATATTTAGAATGGAGATAAGCCTAGATAATCAGCTGCAATGGAAGCTGCCCCCCCCCCCCCCTCCCCCATATGTCGAGTGCGCACTGCACTTAAACCTGTACTTTACAGCTGTAGCCAGAACACCTGGCTAGGTACTGTAACGCAAATGTACATTTAGTGGACTGACTTAGCATTAGCAAAGACAAACAATGAGAAGGTAGACACCAGAAGAGCTGAGCAGGGCAGTTGGTTTGAGAGTACTGCAAATACCTTGCTAGCTAACGTTAGCTATGTGGATATAAAAACCACGTGATTTTAGGTGAAAGGAGTACACCATGGCCCCTAGCTGCCATTAGCAACACTGGTGTATTTACACTATAGTGTTGCTCCCTATTGTATTGGTTGCACAAAAACAGTCCAGAGGAAGCCATAAGTTAAATACAATTCAATTTCTACTTATTGTGCTAGTGGGCAGGACAGTTGGTCATTAAAACAGGGGAAATTTGAGACAAAATATTTAAAGGAACGCATTATTAAACATACTTATTCATCTTAACTTAGCGCAAAATAAAAGTCCCACAAGTTATTCATTTTTTGGCCAAATATGGCACACATGCAGGACTTTTATTTTGACATGAGGTAAGTGGAAAGGACGTGGATCAACAGACCCAACCAAATTCATATAGAAATGTGACTTACAGATCTTCATTCTCATTGAAAGCAAATCTAAGAAACGGTAGATGTGTTGTAAGTGAGCTATTTATTTCTATGCTTCCCGTAAGTTTATTTTTCACATCTTTTACATTTGGTTTTGTACACAAGCTTCAAAGAGCTGAACATACAATATATTTGGTTATGGAAAATATATTTCACAGCAGTTTAGATGGTACAATGATTCGCTACACTATGCTTGCTTTGTCACAAACTGAAAGTAGGCGAACTATTAGAATTGTAGCAACGAGGAGATGGTGGAGCGATGTTTTACATTCGCAGCGAGCATTTTAAAATGTTGTGGTGCCTGTCTGCAAAGTTGTTTCCGCGGGTCGCAAAAAGCCAAATTAACACGACAAACTCAATTAAATGTAAAAGTGCTCCGTTGACATTTCACTGAGATATGCTTGTTTTTGTGAGAAATCTTTGGGGGGAAAAATGAATTTCGCATTCATTCTTATCCAGAGCGACTTACAGTTAGTGAGTGCACACATTTTTTTCATACTGGCCCCCCGCAGGAAACGAACCCACAACCCTGGCGTTGCAAGCGCCATGCTCTACCAACTGAGCTACAGTATACTACATGCCATGTCTCAAAATCAATACCCATCTTACCTGTATACTGTTTTATCTTCTCCGGATTTGAGAAGATAGATTAGTTCAGCGGTAAACCTGTCAGTTAGCCTTAATTCTTGCACAGCATCCAGCCTTGCTGACGTAATATTCCAGATTTTTTGTCATCCTAATTGTGGCCATCCTACAAGGGTCAGAACTCCATTAACTTTTGAACTGATTATGATAGAGACATGAAGTTTGGACCATTGTTTTCTTAGAGGCGTATCTACACAATAACTGTTTTTGACCATTGTTCAAAATATGCGTTTTTGAATGGACACCCTAGATAGGGAGCAACGCTGTTGTCTAAATACACCAGCATTGCTAATAGAAGTTAAGTGGCCCCATGCTTCTGTCAATCAAAATATCACCCACACAACTGTTAAAGCACTGCAATGAACTAAATTATAAACTGGGTGATTCAAGCCCTGAATGCTGATTGGCTGAAAGCCGTGGTACGTCAGACCGTATACCAGGGGTATGACAAAAAAAATACATTTTACTCTTCTAATTACGTTGGTAACCAGTTTATAATAGCAATAAGGCACCTCGGTTGTTTGTGGTATATTGGCCATATACCATACCCCCTCGGGCCTTATTGCTTAAATACACAACGACGGTATTGACAGTTGGAGAGCTCAGCTAACCCAGTGACTGGATAACAACAAAGCCAACTGTACTCAGCACGCGCAGTCGTGAATGCATGTGTCATGTGAACGAGCTCGTTGTCTATTGATGTAACACCAGTGTTTCAACTCGGGCAAATGTACGAATAAATTGACTGAAAGAAACGAATATATAAAAACAATATGGCATAGATGTTCAGTTTTTCAACAAACGCGCCACCTAACATCAGCAGTGATTTAACAATCCAGACAAGTAATTTAGTGGCCTACTTTTCTGGATTAGCATTATCTGCTACTAGCTAACTAGACACCCCATGCTAGGTCGAAGGCATCCCGCGTGGCCTGCACATAAACTGTAAAAAATGGGCCTGAGCCTATCGCGTGTTCCCCATTCACAATGTCGTCCGGCTCAAACATCAGCACATATGAAAAATTGTCAATTAGCTAGTTGACAACCATACAAACAGTATATTAACTGACGTTATGCGTGTTCGTAAAAATGATTGGCACGCATTTGGTAACACTTTGTTACTGTAGTTCGCTGAATCTACGCCATGACCTTGTGTTGAAAAATATAGAAACTAACTACGTTACCTAGCTAGCTAAAATAAGACCGCCACATTGCAAACTCACCTGGGTGACCTTCTCCAACAGATTCAGAGGTGAACAAAAAGCAGTCTTCATCAATGATTGAGTTATGGAAACCGTTCAATTGCCGGTTCATTTTAAAGGAATTGTTGTTTGTCAAGTTATAACTAGCTGGCTACCTAAAATGAGTCAACTATGGTTTAACAAATTATGATTTATCTGACAGTAATTCTAATGCCCAATAAATAATATTTAAAAACCCCACAGCAGGCCTCTAAAGACTTGTTCTTTCGCCGGTGTTCTCGCAAAACAAATTGGTAGTGGTGATATTTATACTTTTTCATGCGTCTTCTTCTTCGGGATTGGGTTGTCGGATCGCATCCAACTTTCAAGGTGCATACACCGCCACCTACTGTACTGGAGCAGACCTGTTTCATGTCTCCCTCCCTCATCCACAACGTGGCAATCAAACCTGTATTACCAAACCGTAGTCTACTCCACACAACTTCCTCTCTCGTACATCCCATATTGACCGATGCACGCAATAAAATTGCCTCCCCTTACTATTAGCATCCCACTCCCAGACAAAGATCGAGCCCTTTTGCCCGGATCAAGGACTTGACTTCCCAGCGACCCAGCGGGACCTGAATAGCACAGAAGGTTGATGGCACCTTAGTTGGGGAGGACGGGCTCGTGGTAATGGCTGGAGCGGAATTCGTGGAATGGTATCATGTATTTCCATGTGTTTGATGCCATTCCATTCGCTCCGGCCATTATTATGAGCCGTCCTCCCCTCAGCAGCCTCCACTGCTGAATATCTACCCCCTCTCTCCTCACAGCACTCTTAGCCACCACATCGACCTTCTCAAATAGCAAGATGGCGCCGACAGACATGGCAGCTCTGCGTCTAGCTCCTAAACAACTTTGCAGTATTTCTTTTGTGTGTGTGTTATTTCATACATTATTAGCCCAGAACGTTTTTTTGTGTTATTACATACAGCCGGAAATAACTTATATTTCTTAATTATATTATTTTACTTTTAGATTTGTGTATTGTTGTGAATTGTTAGATACTACTGCACAGTTGGAGCTAGGAACACAAGCATTTCGCTACACCCGCAATAACATCTGCTAAATCTGTGTATGTGGGCGGGAACCCAACAAAAGCTTATCACCATTCCCATCCTCTCCAATCCCATTAACAGCGCCATCATCCACAAACAAGACTCCCCTATCCGACCTACCCGTCTTCACACTACTCAACACAGCAGCCGAGTGTTTTCACCTCCTCTACCCATCTCAAACCTATAATCATGGCCATCAACTCTGCCGCATACACTGACACATAATCAGTTAACCGCTTACATACTATAACTTTGAAATCTGGGATATACACCCCAGACCCTACCCGTCCACTGATTGGATCCTTTGAACAATCTGTATATATCCTTAAAAACAAATAAAACCGATTATCTATATATCTCTCCACACACCATCTCACGTCCTCACCCCATTCTCTCCTGCCCTCAATCATGTTTACATATACACATGGTTTTGGAAACATCCACGGAGGATCTCTCTCTCCCCCAGTCCATATTCTACCACCGTCTGCCCAATGTCCACCCGTTTGCCCTCTGCTTACCCACTCCTCGCTCCCAGTATTCCCCAGTTGGCGTGACTGCAGGATGTCCTTCTGATTTCCCTTTCAACCTCACCCAGTACGCTAATGCAAGTTTGTCCCACCTTATCCTCAGTGGCAGTTCCCCACTATCCACCTGCAATGTCTCAACAGGTGTCGTCCTGAAGGCACCCACATACAATCTCAGGGCCCTTGACTGTATCCTATCCAGGCACTGTAGTACCATTTTGGCTGCCGATCCAATAACAAAGCATCCAAAGATTACCTGATCAATGCCTGGTACATGTACAACAGTGTTTGTCTATCTGACCCCCAATCATATCCTGCCACTGCCCTCATGAGGTTCAGCACCTTCCTACATGTAATTTCGATACACGCAACGTCTCTTCCACGTAAGCCTCTCATCAAATCACATACCTAAATACTTAAACTCAGACACCCTACCTATATCCTGACAGTATATTTGCAGCCTAACATCTTTAACCTTCCTCCTAGAAAACACCATAAAGCAGGACTTGGCCACAGACATCCTAAAGAGGGCACGACAAAGCCTATTCCCCCTCAGGAGACTGAAAAGATTTGGCATGGATCCTCAGATCCTCAAAAAATTCTACAGCTGCACCATCGAGAGCATCCTGACTGGTTGCATCACCGCCTGGTATGGCAACTGCTTGGCCTCCGATCGCAAGGCACTACAGAGGGTAGTGCGTACGGCCCAGTACATCACTGGGGCCAAGCTTCCTGCCATCCAGGACCTCTATACCAGGCGGTGTCAGAGGAAGGCCCTCAAAATTGTCAAAGACTCCAGCCACCCTAGTCATAGACTGTTCTCCCTGCTACCACACGGCAAGCGGTACCGGAGTGCCAAGTCTAGGTCCAAAAGACTTCTCAACAGCTTTTACCCCCAAGCCATAAGACTCCTGAACAGCTAATCATGGCTACCCGGACTATTTGCACTGCCCCCCCACCCCATCCTTTTTACGCTGCTGCTACTCTGTTAATTATTTATGCATAGTCACTTTAACTCTACCCACATGTACATATTACTTCAATTATCTCAACTAGCCGGTGCCCCCGCACATTGACTCTGCACCGGTACCCCCCTGTATATATAGCCTCCCTACTGTTATTTTATTTTACTTCTGCTCTTTTTTTCTCAACACTTTTTTTGTTGTTGTTTTATTTTTACTTTTTTTGTTAAAATAAATGCACTGTTGGTTAAGGGCTGTAAGTAAGCATTTCACTGTAATGTCTGCACCTGTTGTATTCGGCGCATGTGACCAATACAATTTGATTTGATTTGATTTGAACCCCCACGTTAAAGACCAATCTTCCACAACTCCCACAGCTTCTTGCATCTTCCTCATCACGTATTTCACATTCCCACCTCTCTTCCATACAGCCCCATCATCAGCATACAAGGCCAGACCCACTCCCTGTCCCACCTCCTTAAAGGTGTCATCCATCATCAGGGTGAACAACACTGGACTAACTACACTTCTCTGAGTATACTCTAAAAATTAGGGGTTCAACAAAGGTTCTTCTAAGATCCTCAAAGTTCTTTGAAGAACCTTAGGGTTCTTGGCACTGAAAATTGCCCCTAAAAGGTTCTTCCAAGAACCCCATAGGAGGTGGGGTTCATCGAGGAACCTCCTTAGTTGGTGGGGGTTCTTGTAGGAACCTAACTGCCCAACTGAAACATTTGGATTTGAAAGGACAGCAGGTGCAGGCACTTAACTGAACAATTAAAAAATCTCCTCAATTTAGGGTAAGGTTTGCCCCTTCTGTGATCTAAATTGATATTGTTTTATGATGATACCATCTATCTTTTTATATTTGTGCAAATCTTATAAAAATGGACACAATTCAATGGATATCAATCAACAAAGAGGTAAGAATATGTAGGCTATAAGAATATGTTGAAGGCTAGCTATATTGGGGGCAGATGACTGAACTGATCACTTTTGTGTCTGTGTCTGCAGGTATACAGACGAGGAGGCATACAAAGGTACACTACCGTTCAAAAGTTTGGGGTCACTTAGAAATGTCCTTGTTTTTTAATGTTTTTGTCCATTAAAATAACACAATATAGTGTAGACATTGTTAATGTTGTAAATGGCTATTGTAGCTGGAAACGGCTGATTTTTAATGGGAATTTCTACATAGGCGTACAGAGGCCCATTATCAGCAACCATCAGTCCTGTGTTCCAATGGCACGTTGTGTTTGCTAATCCAAGTTGATCATTTTAAAAGGCTAATTGATCATTAGAAAACCCTTTTGCAATTATGTTAGCACTGCTGAAAACTGTTGTGCTGATTAAATAAGCAATAAAACTGGCCTTCTTGAGACTAGTTGAGTATCTGGAGCATCCGCAATTGTGGGTTTGATTACAGGCTCAAAATGGCCAGAAACAAAAAACTTTATTCTGAAACTCGTCAATCTATTCTTGTTCTGAGAAATGAAGGCTATTCCATGCGAGAAATTTCTAAGAGGCCCCGGTGCACAACTGAGCAAGAGGACAAATACATTAGTGTGTCTAGTTTGAGAAACAGACGTCTCACAGGTCCTCAACTGGCAGCTTCATTAAATAGTACCCGCAAAACCCCAGTCTCAACATCACCAGTGAAGAGGCGACTCCGGGATGCTGACCTTCTAGGCAGAGTTGCATAGAAAAAGTCCAGTGTCTGTGTTCTTTTGCCCATCTTAATCTTTTATTTTTATTGGCCAGTCTGAGATATGGCTTTTTCTTTGCAACTCTGAAGGTCAGCATCCCGGAGTCGCCTCTTCACTGTTGACGTTGAGACTGGTGTTTTGCGCACCTTGCATCTTATACATGTCCTACATCTGATTTGATGGCCTTGACGACGTTTCCAGATGTAACATTCTGCTGGTTGGCTCAGAAAATACCACCATTACTCTGTTCTCCTGTACCTCATCTCCCTGCCTGTTTGCTCTCCTAGATTCCCCCCTTCCATTTCTGTCCCCATCTGTGGTAAATCCACCCACATCCCCTTATCTGAACCTTTCCCTTTTTTTCTTCATACAGTCGTGTAGGTAGACTCATCACTAATCCGACTACCGTCCTTCATCCAACTCAGATTTACTCAGGGGTGAAAGTAGATTTAATTTCTTCTCGGCACGGGACCTCCTACGTTTGCACACGCGTGCACAAAAAAAAAAGTATGGGCCTAACAAGTATGCTGCCCTAGGTGAGACCAGAAATTGCCACCCCTCTCCTATCGCCGCTAAACTAGAATAGTGTACATCAGGGGTCGGTAATAGGTTTGGCCTTGGGCAAAAAGAAATCACAGCTAATAGTCGGCAGAACAGAACAGCAGCCCAATCCATAGGCCTATGCTACAGATTAAACACATCTGGTTAATAGGCTATATAATCAGTTCAATGTCAATAACATATCCTAATATTTTTGTTAACTTAATTTATTCACTTATATGCCTTCAGAATGAGGTTCTTATTCTCAAACACCCCTTTTACC